CAAAACAAGAAAGCAAAGAAAAGCAAGTACAACTCACAGCATATACAGAATAGAAGATGTAAAACTTCCAACCTCTTTCCAATCTTTTTTTTTTTTTTTTTAGACAGGGTTTCTCTCTACAGCCCTGGTTGTCCTGGAATTTACTCTGTAGACCAGGCTGACCTGGAACTCAGATCCACCTGCCTCTGCCTCTTGAGTGTTGGGATTAAAGGTGTGCACCACCATGGCCCAGCTGAAAACCTCCAGTCTTAAGCAAAGCAGTAGGATGTTTGTAGCCAAAATGCCACATGGGTATGTGATATTAATAAAACACTAACACATGAGGAATTTGAAAAACTCATCTTTTAGGTTATGATGTCACATTTTGAAAAGCAGGGCTTTTCCTCCAAAGGCTACAGATAAGACTTCAGATGGCAGTAGCTACAGGTTTTCTCAGACCTGACCAACATTGGGATTTTCATATCGTGAGTAAGGCAGAGAAGTTGGAGGAGGGGTCAAAGAAGACTCTCAGTGTGCCTGAAGTGGTGGGAAGTAAAAACCATGATAAGCAGAAAGAAACTTACTCATCAATGTTATGGGCAAAAATACCCCAAACCTTAAAACAAAAAGACATGGATGTCAAAAATAACAAAACTCACATCAGTTAAATACCTAAGCAGGACTATTTAACTGCGACCTCTTTTATACTGACTTCTTTATGACAGGATTCAACAAGGAAATGGAAGCTGCAGTTTGCTGTGAAACTGAAGAGCTATAAGCTGACAGTCACAGTGCACGTGGAGGAATGACTCCCAGTGGACTTACTTTCATAGAGCAGGGAAATATGGATTGCTATCAATGGTCTCACCTTAGAAATGAGGACATTTCCCATTGTCAGACTGCGTACTGCATTCTAAAACTGGATCATAAATAAAATCAACATCAGGCCAGCAAGGAGCCTAGACTTTGAGTGGGTAGTGCCCAGAGGCTAGAAGTATGGAAGGTCCTGCCACGGGCCTCAGGCCTCCAGGTTGGAATCTTTTCTTCAGTGCGTGAGTGAGTGTGCTGGTATTGGACAGAATTTCTTGTGTGTCTTGTCAGCTTTCTGAAGCTTGGACACATTAGTCCTAACAGCTCTAGACACTCACCTTAGTAAGAGCAAAGCACAACATATCATCGAGAACAAGGAACAAGGTTCTTGCCTTCATACACCCTGTAGATGTGGTGCCCTGGGTAATGAGCCTGCGTCATAGAACACTGCTGACACTGTGTAGTGCTAGTTCCTGTGATGTGGACTCTGCTTTCAGAATCTGGTTCATGCACAGCTGGGTCTTAGAAGTTCAGAGCCTTATACTGCAGGGAACCAGAGTTCTCCAGCTCCAAACGCTCCGTATCCTGGACTGACTTTTATAGTAATCACCACTGTGCATGACACTGACTTTCCATGAAATTATATACTGTATAACAACTGATACTGATGAGGGTGTAGAAATGGCTTTCTTTTTCTCTGCTGATTAAGGAATTAAAAGCAGGACAGTTTGAAAGTCAAAACCAAAGTTTACTCGAAGAACAAAGGCCTGTAGTACCCTGTTGGGGTTCTTAGTCTCATTAATAACAATTTTATTAAAACGGATCAAGTGGAAGCTCGAGGACAATTTCATACGAGTTTTAAAAGAAAAACCCGAGAGCAAGCAAGCTGTAAATCTCAGTAGTTGCCTAGAGGGGAAAGGGGAAGAGAGGGGAAAAAAAAAGTTGGACACTGCAGCAGGCAGCTACATGGTGTGTGTGTGGGGGGGGGGGGGGGGGAGCTTTAGAAAAAAAATCAAGGAATCTCGGAGTACTAGAAAAAGCACACCTACCTGCTTGCCAGCATTTTAAAGGAGACAGAAGAAAGAAAAATGAAACGTTGTACCTTTTGGAGTGAGGCTGAGCTAAACCCCACAGTAGCTTGTGCTATGGGTCAGGAACTCTGGAAGTAAAAGTATAATATATCATTACAATTTTTTATTTTGCCTGTCTCTTTGGCATGGCTGAAGGTGCTTCCACCTTCCTCGTGTGGTCTCTTGGCCAGGTGGTTGGCATGCTGGATCGTAGAATGCTTCGTGTTGGGTAACTTATATGTTTGGCTTCCACTCAGGCCTGACATTTTTATCCTCTTGACCTGAAGGAGCAGTTTTCTCTTAATGAGACTTTATTGCTGCCGTGTTCGAATCATTTTCAGCTGTTCTGGCCTCATCTCCTTTCTTCTTGTACATTAAGGAACTTTTGTTTCTGGAGTGAGAAAGCTCCCAGTTCTTGTGTGTTGTTTCAACATGAATACTGGTTGATGTTTGTTTCTATGGAGTGGATGTCAAGTCTTGCTAGTAAAGGGCACTTGTAGTTACACGGCCTAGCTGAAAAAAGGTGTTGTAGGAAAACGTTCATTAAATCTATCTGTTAGTTTCTACTGTATGAAAACGTCCATGAAGTATTTCCATGTGTCTGAAAGCCAACTCTAAGTGGATCTCCCCTGGTCGGTTTTGACAGACTCTGGTTGATGTATTACTGAAATTCTTAAAGGTACTAGTTACAATGCTGGCACTACTTGTGCTTGGTAGAGAATTTTTTTTTTTTTTTTTTAATTATCTAGTTGCTTTTCCCAGAAGGGAGCCACATCAGTTAACCTTCCATCTTGTGGGGGAAAATGAAGTTTAAAGTCTCTTTGTCGTCTCATCATTTTCCCCTTTGAGATCAGACAGTAAACTATGCAGTAGTTTTGTTTCCTGGCTTCTAAGTGGAGTTTGGGTTGTTTTGATTACAGACCTGTTTCTGTCCTGTTTAGCTTTGCTGTGTTAATTTTAGTCACCAGCCTTTGAATGAGCAGGCGACCCAGGCCTTTTCTTACGTTTTTCTTCAGATTTCTACTACATCCTGTTTCATGTGTGGTTAAGTCAGCTGATGAGTCACCTGATGTTTTGCTGCTTAGAGTTGACAGAAATAGAGGTTCAGAATAACCACACGGAGAAGTAGCTCTCATGGTTTCCAAATATGTTGCTCAAAGCCATGCTTTATGATGCTTCAGATACTTTTTACAAAAGAGCCTGTGTGAGGGGCGTGTGGAAAGGCAGGTCACCTCACTTGCTAGGTCCTATCAGAGACAACGTTATACTTTTGGGTATAAGCGTGTGGGGCAAGATTGAGCACACCCCTCTGCTGGTGGTGCACGGAAGTTTTCATTCTAAGTTTGGTAGTTAGCTTTCTTGCAATACCCTAGGGTCAGACGCTTGGGCACTCCAAACCAGCATGTGATGTTCTGGTCACCACACTGTATTCAAAGCTTTACTGAAACAGAAAAAGAAAAAAAAGTACAAGGAAACATTTCTCAAGGTAAAATAATTAATTACAAGAGGCCCGATGTGGTGGCGCACACCTTTGATCCCAGCACTCAGGAAGCAGAGGCAGGTGGATCTCTGCGAGTGCAAGGTCATCGTGGCCGTCATAGTGTGTGTCAGGATAGCCAGGGCTATGTACAGAGACCCTGCCTCAAAAAACTAAAACTAAATGAGTAATTACAAGAATATCAGTTTCTCCTATTTTGTAGCACACATCTCACTCTTGCTTCATGTTGCTGAATCTGGAACAAAGTTCCTTGCCTTCTGCCTATTTCAGTGGAAAATATCCCTATACAGAATAGCTAGGAGGTCGGGAGCACTGGGAGCTGGAAGTATAGTTCTGTAGTGTGTTTGTTTCCTCTCCAGAACAGGCACACACACGCCCCACTCACGCCTACACGAAAGGAGTGACTGAATATTCACTTTAAAGATAAAGTGGAGTATCTGTTCCCATGATGAGGATCACTGTCTCCGTCCTGCCAGATCCTGAAGGGAGCTGCACTGCAATAGTGCACTTAGAGTCAGTGGAGTTTAAAGCGCCATAACTATTGCAGTCTAAAGTTGCTCATTCTCCTGGTCACAGCATCAAGAGTTTTCATTTCTGAGGCCCTCCGAGAACATTTCCAAGTCAAACCATCAGTGAATGCCAAGAACCAGATGGTCCCAAATAGGAGAAGAGTATCTGTGATGCAAGAGAAGCCCAACACAGGCCACAAGGAGAGGCTGACTAGCTTTTGCCCACAGATACAAACAGGTGGCCTTTCCAGTGAAAGGATCCTTGGTGACAACTTTCCTGCCAGCCTCAGGCCTCGCCCACTCCCCCAGCCCTGCAGTGGGTAAGCTTTGTCCTTCATGAGTCATAGCAGTCCTCTGTTTACTCAGTTCCCAGGCCCTTTGGACAGGCCCTGTGTGCCAGGACCCAGTAAACAAGGGCAGAGCAAAGGGTGTGCACTTAGAATGACCCCCTGTCGTCCCTCAGAAAAACAGTCCTTTCTGCTTCCTGAGAGAACACCCTCACTAGAAAGGCTTCATTTGAGCCATCCCAACTCACTTCTCAGTATTTTGATGGAAAGCTGCCTCGTGCCCTTGCAACCTTAGGTTGTATTTGTCTTCACTTAGCCTCGAGGGAGCCATAGCTGCTCTTACCACAGTCCTTTTCTGTTTGTCAGCTGAGTTAACTGTTTACAAATAACAGTCCACTGGTGAGGCAGAGAGGCTGCCTTTTATGCACTTGGAGAGTGGAGAAAGTGACCCCCTTCCCAAGTCCAGGCGATGGAATTCTTGGTTCGAACAGAACTATATGCCAGTTCAGAGTTCTGCCTTAGGATGTCATGTGACCACACAGGCCAAATGAACGTGATGTGTGGAAGAGCCTTCCCTGCATGGCGAAGATCTGAACAAAATCTGTAAAAACGCAGGTCCATTGCTAAAGAATGGGCCTCCCACTGCGGTTTAACTTCTCGGGAAATCTAATACAGCTTGAAGGCCCTCTCATCTTGGTCAAATAACATGGCTTTGGACTTAAAGCTACATTCCCTAATTGCACAGTGAAGAATCACCACTAGCTGTTCTGAATTTAGAGGGAAAGGATTTTGTTTTTGCAGTTTGATATTTAAGCTCCAACCCCAGAAGCATGAAAATAGCCACACATTTTAAAAAATACTGCTGTTTAATTTTCTAGTCATGTACTTTAAAAAGCCAATACAATTAAGACTTTTAGTTATCTTCTCAGATCTGCCCCTGAAATTACCCACAAGCAGCTACAGAAGCACACAGGACCTGCTCCCATGGTGGGCACATATGAAGGGCATTGGGTATCCAGAAATGGGAATGCAAGCCTGTGTAGCTGACAGGCAACCTTTGCCTTTGCAGTCTTAACATTAGGATTACACAACAGGGAAAAAAATAAACACAAGAGGCCTGCCTTTTTGTTTCCCTTTTTCCCTTTGCCCTTCCAACTTTTACTTGTCTATACTAGTGGACCCATTTTCTCCCTAGGTTGCCCATCACGTAATATTTTCTTGGCATTACAGGCCCTTACATTCATACATAAAGGACTTGTAAAACTGGTGTAAGTAACATACAACGGTCACTGGTACAACATAAGTGAGCTGTAGGTGTGTGGAGGACGCAGGCCATCACTGAATTGTATTAGAGACATTTTATTGAAAATGCGAAAATAGGAAATGTATTATAGCCTAAAATAAATTACATAACATATACAGCATATATTTATATCTTTAAAATATTTGTTTTGTTTAGGTTCTTTCAGTCTAGTTATTTTGTCTAAATCAGGAATTTAGTGTACTGTACCCATAATTTTTTTTAAAGGAAAAAACCCGCTTTCCAAAACTTAGAAAAATATACTGCACTAAATGGATTTCCAATGCATTATTTCAGGGGTATCACATAGTGACTTTGATACTGTCTATAAAATGTCTTGCTTTATGGTGTGGAGGGGAGTGCCGTAGGACATTCAGTTACCTGCCCTGCAGAGCTGTGACTGAGAGCGGCAGAAACAGGGAACACATCTAAATCAGAAGTTACAGACAAGAACCTGGCATTAGAATGCTAGATTACAACTTAAAGCTCTGCTCACTGGAAAAAAACGAAATGGACAGTTAGAACGCTCCACTTCTCTCATTCTAGTGCCATCTTCAGGGAAGGCAAGTGGAAAGCACGCCTTCAGGGAAAGTCATGCGGAAGGATGCTAACGTTTGGAGCCCCACTTCTGTGACAACTCTGAAAAGTCAGCTCATGTATATACACTGTAGGGTGCGGCAACTCAGTGAAACCAGGAAAACAATGTGAGATGCTGATGATCAAGTCAGTTTGTGACTCTGACCCAATTTCTACAGGTTAAATTTCCATTAGGTTGGCCCAGTGTGGCCACCAACTCTTCCTCTAGGAGCCCACCGGTGTGTATGCCGTAGATAGTTCATGACTCCAGAGCGAGAGGGGGTGCAATGGCCAGCAGGTCACATCTCTTACAGCCACAGTATTGGGGAGCAAGTCAAAAGAGGCTGAACTTCAACTTGTTGATTCGTAGGAGGCAAACATGAACAGGAAAGAGTCTGTGGCCCAAGAGGGAATGACACAACCCAAGTCCTTTGGTTCCAAAGTGGAGATTGTCCAAGGGAGTAAAAGGTCGACCAAGATGGGGCTCTATCTTTTGGGTTTTTATGAAGCAGGGTCATGAAGTCAGCGGTTCTGTGTTTACAAAGTGACAGTAAAGACCTTTCTTTAGGTCCCCGCATCAGTGAGCATACCCAGTATGCTAGAGAATTTATACGAAACCTTTAAATCAAGGCCTCTTTCATAACCAAAAATAAAAATTAAAAAAACAGAAAACAGCTTGATGGGAGGAGGAAAGAGATGACACTGTTGTCTTGACTGTCCCTGCAGTGCCCCTGGTGGCCTGTGCTTACTCATTCTCTTCTCTCATTTCTACGATGTCTGTCACCTCCTCTGTTGGAGGCATGTCAGTCATTGCCGAGTCTTCCCCCTCCGTGGCTGACTCATTCTCCATCTTCTTTTTCTAGATAAAAGGAGAAACATCAGAGTGGGGATGTGGACAGGGGACACCACAGCAGCACTGTGAGCAGGGAGGATGCTGTATGGTTGGGTGTCCCAATCCAGGCTGAATCTAGTTCAATATATTCCTTTCACTGTGGTTGTTCACATCCTTGTTGTGTGCCCCTCCCCTGCTAAAGCCCCACGCTTTGAGTTTTGTGTTCTTGGCCAGGCCTAGAACACCATGACACCCTGTCATTGGTGGGTGTCCCCTACCCAGACAGATCTGGGTTCACTATGTCCTGCTCATTGCACATCCTGATTCCTGGTGGCCTTACTGCCATTCTGCTGCGTCCTTGCAGAAAGTGGCTTCTCAGCAATCAGCCACCACTAGTCCTCTTCAGATCCATGCAGACCTTGTGTTCTCCATGCTCTGAGTAGCAGATCAAAGTAGAAGGCTGCCTTCTACAAGGGCCTCTTCCAGTGCTTCCCTTTCAGGACCTGTCTCTCATTAGTGAGAGACACTATTATGTCTCCTGTGGATCCTCTCATGCCTCTTGGACTGGTTTAAATGTAATGTTCACCTTCTTCCTTGTTTTCCTTGAGTCCTATCTGTCATAGAAGACCGGGATCTCAGGCCCACATTTCCAATGTGTGGCAGTGGGGGGTAGGGGCACAAGAAGGCATGAGGTAGACTGTCCACTGCAGGGAGTCATCCTCTCTGTGGCAGGGGCCTCACACTGCTTTCCCAGCTACTCACTCTTTACTCTCCTGGCCAGCTCAGCCTTTCACACACCCGTCATCCTTCATCATGGCCCTTTCTCAGGGACAACTTGGTTTCGACTTAATTGACCCAAGCAAAATCAACCAGAAGACTCCTGATCTTGGCTGCCCATGCCCTTTGGTATGCACTTGGCCAACTGGCTATGCTGTCCCTTTTCCCACTAGTGTCCCATTCATTGGGCCAGTCCCCAAAGCAAACACTTCGCTGAACTTTACCCCATCTTAACTGGTTTTCTGAAGTTTACTTTTATAGTTCTCTTCCCTTTACTTACAGTCTTCAACATTTTCGCCCTTTTCTCCTGAACCCCAAGGCCATGAGGTGCATGGGCAAGGTCCCCAGTCCAGTCCCCTCACTCTTCACCCTTCACAGTGAATTCCATCATCATTCCTGGCTCTCCGGACTGCCTCCCTGGTCTCTTCTTAACAGTTTTGTTGGTTTCTTTGCACCCTGCCCCCAGCCTAAAGATATACCCATCAAGGCTCTACCTTTGGCTCCTTCCATCTCCACTTGTATCCACTCTCTGGCTAATCATCTTAGTGAATAAGATGGAGCTTCTGACCCCAGAGAACTCATAAATCATGGAGAGGAAAGAAATACACAGCATGCAGTTTGAAAATGCTGCCTTTAGGGCAGACTAACTCTGAGCTTTCAGGCTGAGGGTCTGTAATGAAGTGGGTATGGTGTGGAAGGTGTAGGCCCACCAGGATTAGAACAGATTTCCTGAAATAGAGCGAAATTATTTGTGAGGGCAGAGAGAGGTGCTGCTTATCCCTAAAGCTGTTAACGTAGTTTCTTACCTGTTTCCGATAGACATAGCATGCTGCAATGGCAACCATGGTAGATTCTCCCACAAACCCTGCTAGAAGGGAGCCCACACCTAGTGTGGCTCCATGGACCCTGGAAATGCGAACACAGGTATTTTGCATGTTAAAACCAAGTTATGACATAATTAAGTTGGTGACAAATTCAGTCGATATTGCTTAAACCCAAGAATACTGCAGAGCAGTGAGGGATGGAGCAATAGTTTCCTCCAACCCCTGGCCTCAGGGCAGTACCTACTGACCTCTGAGGTAGACCTGTGTAACTCAGGGCTGAGCTCGTATTCCATTAGTATCATCTCAGCCTGTGTCCCTCTCACTAGAGATGGGGAGTTCTGAGGGCAGGGCCTTTCTGCCTCCTGTTGGTTTGCACATTCCTCATCACAGGAGGTGAGGCCTTGATTCCAGGAATCACCTGTTTCCAGGCTAGTGTGGATCTCATAGGCTCACTGATGTGAGCAGAGAAACATCCTTTTGAATTCCCAGCTCTAATAGGCTTGGGGATTTCACTTGGTTATGCAGATTTTAATGCTCTACACAGAATACTTTAGTGGCAAAGGCCTCAAAGCAACATATATATGCCAAATGCTGTAAACACATACCCCAGGTAAGGCAGGACCACGAGGCTGGTGATGAGGACGATGATCCGAAGCACAGAGCTGGGTGCTAGGACAAAGGTTTTCTTAAGTGTCATCAACCATCCAGTAAGGTGGGCTCTCACAGTCACTGAGAGGAGAGAAGGACTTATCAGCTGTATGGCCTGCTTCCACTCTGCCTCGTCCAACCCTTTGCTGCTGGCCCAGGACAGCAATTCTAAAAGCTGGCAGGAACTGCCAGCCTAGCTGCTATGACCCAGGGCTGGTCACTCATCTTCCTGTGGCGGTCGATCCCTACTTTCGAACCTAACTGGGGTCAGGCCCCATTCCTACCCAGCTTCCTGCCTCCTCAGTCCTGTGTCTAGGTGGCCAGCTGCAGGCAGCTGCTGCCTTACTGCTCCATGATAACGATCATTCTGGTCGGCCTGGCTGTTCCCAGGATGTCCTTGCCGGGTCCTGCTACTCTTTCCCCTTTCTCTCTCTAACCACCCTCCTCTAGAGGGAAAGCTTTGAGAAAAGGGACAATGTTGCTGCTGGGTGAACAGAAAAGCTGGGACCAGAAGCTGTCACGCTTCTACTGTCTTAGGGAACAGAGGGGATGGGAACAGTGGAGAAATGAGAATGACCTCATCCCTATTTCCCACCATGCCTTCCAGAGCCAACCTTGACCATCCTTAGCCATTTTTTTTCTCCCTCCTGTCACGGTGCCACTGCTCACTCACTATGTTTTGACTGCACAATGACAGGCACATAGTTCCCATTCTCACTCCTGTGCATGCAGACTGAGTGTGTAGGAGGGCCCAGGTGGATAGTGCATGCGCTATGAGAGGTGTAGCTGTGCAGAGCACTGACCTTTGCCCTGGTTGGTAAGAAGCACCCTGACCCCTCTGCGCAATGCAAGTAAAGTCTCCTGGAGAAGATAAGCTTGCTCTGGGGTAACACTCACTCCCCAGGGATGAAAAGGAAATATAGATGAGGCTCATCTTCTTCTCTTAGGGAAAAGATAGCTCCACTTCTAATTAGTCCATGGAGAGGACAAGAGTCGTAGTGTGTGCTGATCTGGTGGCCCAAACCTAATGCTGCCAAGACCCAGTGGGACCTGACAGCTGTTGAGGAGACTGAAGATACCCAAGAAGACCTCACCACCACCCCAGAGACCCCTGGTCTCTTCTCTGCTTGTTTGGGCTCTCTAGCCCTTTTCATATCACCACTGTGGAAAATGAAACCCACATGGCTGATCTCCAACTGCAGCCTTCTCCAGCTGCCACCAGCTTCTTAGAGCTCAGCTCACCCAGTGTTTACCCAACACGGGCCGCACACCAGCCCTAGGCTGTTTTTTGTCAATTCCTTTACTTCTGCCCCAGCCCGGAAGGTGACAGCCTTAAGAACTGGCCTCCAGAAGCTTCTGGGTCTCTGTAGGGGCTGCTTGTTCCCAACATGGGGCTGGAAGGTATGCCATTGGCCCTGGGAGATATATATTGAAATGGATCGCCCCACAACTCCCAGATCTTCCTCAAATTTCCACCCACCCAAACCCACATTATTTCTCTATAAAAAATAATAATTAAAAAATTAAGTAAGGGGTCTGGAGAGATGGCTCAGAGGTTGAGAGCACTGGCTGTTCTTCCAAAGGTCCCGAGTTCAATTTCCAGCAACCACATGGTGGCTCATAACCATATATAAGGAGATATGGTGCCCTCTTCTGGCCTCTAGGCACACATGCAGGCAGAATACTGTATAAATAATAAACAAATCTTTAAAAAATAATGAAGTAAGATAAAAATTTAAAACTAGGACATAAAAACAAAGATCATGGCTTCTCTTAACCTAAATGTGAACTTATACACCCTGGCTTCTAACTTAATAGTTCAGGTAGGTTATTTCCTTCCCCTCTTGTTCAATATGCCTTTATTTTGCTGTGGATTGGGCCTAGCATTTAGCTACACCGCCAGCCTTGTATATATTTTGACTAGTTGCCATGAACTCAGTATAGTTTAAGGGAGCAGAAGCAAACATACGAACAGAAGCAAATGCCTCTGTAAGTGATTGGCTCCTGTGGCCCCATTCCTGCTACCCATAGGCACCCCTCTTACCAGCTTAGATTACCTCTAGACAAGGTACACACTTATGGAACACAGATAAACACTTGTGATGGCGTCAGCTGCACCCTAATCACTCACCCACAGCTTGCTTTTCTCATGCATTGTCTCATTCTTGAATACTATCCCTCGTAATACAGAGTCTGTGGTGATGTTTCCCTCTGGTGTGTGGTTTGACATTGTCCTTTCTGGCCATGAGCCATTTGGACCATGTCTTTGGTTCTAAGTGTCTTTTTATTTCTTTGTTCACCTTTTAGGTTTTAGCAGTAATCTCACTGTACTTTTCATTTTACTTTGGAAACTATCTTATTATAAAACTGAATTTCTGGTGTATGTTCTATGAACTGTAGTTCAGGACCAGATGTGAAGAACCTCGATAATCAAGACAAAGACCAAGTCAACTGTTTCCTACAAATTCCACCTACTGCCCCTTTGGGTCTACTTTCTTTTAATTGTGATTACATCTTACAAATATAAGTTGTGCTGTTTGACACATGTGTAGAACATTCAGCCTGCTGGCTAATGTCTTTGCATCTTTCTAGCCCAGAGTGAAGTAATTACACTTTTGCTGGTGACATGGTTCTGTTGGGCAGGAGGATGGACAGGAGCATGTCCATTCTCTGTGTCTTACCTGGCACTGGGAAGAAGGAGAAGATACGCAGAGGAATGACACAGAGTTCTGCAAAGGCAAAGTCCACTCCAATGATGTCTATCAAAATCTTCTCAGAGACATTAGGGGTCCAGAACATCACAAAACAGAGCTGGAAGGTGGGACAGAACAACAATGAACAAGGTTGTGAGGAAAAGGCATAAATAAGTGAAATGACAAGGTCAGCTATGTCATGGTCCCTAAGCGTTCTAGAGGATGGCAAACGTGCTCACTGGGCATCTAACTGGCACCCTAGGCTTGCAGCTACACGTGCCTACCTTGCTCTCATCTGCCAGTACCAGGGAGGGTGACTCTAATCTGTGTGCTGCACTTGCCCCAGAGGAGTAGCTAGTGTGGCACATCCACTAATTATGGCACATCCATAGTTAGTGTGGGTAGCTGGACTGAGAATGGAGACCACCTTGCTTTCACTGAGGCTTAGTAGGAGTCTTCCCTCAATCAGTTCTGAGCAGACACGTCCATTCATACGGCTTTTACAGTTACAGCAAAATGCGAGACTGTGAACTGAACGCAGTTGGATGGACTGCGCCACTGCAGTCACCTGCAGCCTGCCAGTTTTTAGTGTTAGGAGGGTAAGGAAAGAAACAGCAGGGTGTGGTGACCCGCACCTGTAATCCCAGCACTCAGGGAAGCAGAGGCAGATGGATCACTGCGAGTTTGAGGCCAGCCTGGTCTACAAAGCGAGTCCAGGACAGTCAAGGCTACACAGAGAAACCCTGTCTTGAGAAAACAAACAAACAAAAAATTGTGCCTAGTATGGCTGAAGAGTTCTTGGGCTACAGGCAGGGGGACATATTGTATGTCCCTGTTTTTCCCTCAGCTCTCAAAACACAGGGAACCAGCTGAGTCCCAGAGGCAGGAGACCAAAGCAGCTCTTCATTGGCCTCAAAAAGACCCTGAGTTCCTGAAAGTTTCAGGCTCCCAACCAAGTATTCTCAGCAGTGAGACTTGCACAGGTGACATAGCTCAGCCCTGTTTTGATGTCCACAGCTTCCAAGCAGCTGCCTGGAAGTTCCCTGCTTAAAACATGAACACGCAATTGGGGATCCCCAGACTTCCATAACAGCCTCAAGGTCAAAACAGAAGAAAATTAAGACAATGCAGAAAGAAGAAAACAAACAACAAAAACCCTTTCTGTCACGGTGACATTCTCAGGGAAGAGACTGTATCCATGGATCAAGAACAGAATGGAAATGTTCTAGGAAAGACATTCATGGAACAAGAAAGAGCCAAAGATTAGGAGGATGATCAGAGACCTGAGAAAGTCATTAGCTGACATGGGATCAGAAGTCAGCGGCAATGACAGAGCTGAGAAATAAAAAGGCGGGAGAAGGAGACTATGTTGTTTTTCTTTTGATCAAATAAAACAAGTCTAATATTCTAATTCCCAGAGTTCCATAAAGAGGGAACAGTGAACCTTTCAGAGCTGAAAGAGCAATTTTCAGACTGAAAATTTTGGGAGGCAGATAGTAAATGGGAAGAGACTCAGCAGAGCTTACTACCATCAGTGATGCTGGCCACAGCAAAGACCTGCAGGAGCGGGGTTCAAGGGAAGGTGATTGCTCTCCTCGAACTGAACTCTGAGCCAAACTGTCACTGAGCAGTAGGTAAAAGAAAGACCTCCTCACTACGTAAGGCCTCCAACATTTGCCTTCTGTATTAGTTACTTGTCCGAGCTCCCGACAAAATACCTGACAAGGGCAACTGAACAGTGCACTAATTTCAGTTCATAGTTCAGGGGTTCAGACCATCACTGGGGAAGGCATGGGAGTAGGACTGTGAGGCCGCTGATCATGTCCTGTCCAGTCCAGAAGCAGAGAGAGATGAATGTTCACGCTCAGCTTGCTCTCTCCTTTGTAATTCAGCGTGGGATCCCTCAGCCCATGGAATGGTAACATGAATCTTTAGGGTGGGTCATCTCACCTCAAGTAACAAGGTAGAGAATCCCTCACAGGCATATGCAGAAGTCTGTCTTTTCGGGGATTGTAGAGTATGCCAAATTACAGTATCAACCGTCACACCTCCCACACACACTTTCCTAGAACGATATTAGGCCATGATCTGCCAGATCAGGGGAGTCAGGAAAAGAAAGGGAAAAACACTGACAGGGATGTGGGGGAAATTGTCAGGGGAATCCCAGAGAAGGAGGCTCAGGCCAATCCTAGCCGGTGCCAGGTGCACAGGTCAGCGAGTTATACTGCAGCAGAGACAGAAGCAACCTGCTGAGGCTGAATGCATTGGAAGAGATTTACACAGAGAGGGAATGTGGAAGTAAACAAGGTTAACACAGAGAGCTAAGAAAAATGGTAAGAGAATTATTAACCGCTTAAGACAGGCAGGGATATAAGATGTTTAATGGCTGTTTAAGAATTAGGACTAGGCTATTATAGTTAATCAAAAGAATTTCCCACAGTATCATCATTCACCACAGTTACAATCCACCCAGAGGACAAGTGGGGTTGCGTTAGGGGTGGGGGTGGGGCCATGCCTCTAGTAGAGGGAACAGGGCTGGAAAGAGAATGGATGGGGCAGTGGGCTGAGACAAGCTTATTAGGAACAATCCTAATAGAACCAACTACATTTCGTGCTGATTAAAAAGAAAAACTTAATTTAAGAATGTAATAATATAACTCTGGAGGATAATGTTCAATACATGTCAGTTCCATCAAATACTTATCTCCTTTTCCTAAAATACATGCAAGTCTTGTCTAAAAACTGAACACATTATAAAGTTTCAGTCACGTGAAAACAGAACACCGAAATCTTATAATGTCAGTTCCACTTGGGTAATTTAAGTTTCATGGAATTAGCCTGGCCACAGTGAGGCAATAAAAAAAAAAAAAAAAAAAAAATCTTGGCAGATCAACCACAAATGTTTCATTTTCCACATTCAACAGGCTCTTCCCAGTGGCTCATCAGCACCCGGGAACATATTCACCTGGTCTGCAGCACAGGTACGCCACTCAGTGGCCACAGAGCTTGCTGTATGGATTCCCTAAGATCTAGCAACTTAGAGGATTTCAGTACCTGAGGAGCATGGGCAAGTGGCCTGCCACCTTTCCTCACTGCTGTTTTCAAATAGTGTGATATCACTTGTGCCTACAGCCCAGACACAGCAGCAATTTCTAATAACAACTCCCAAACAGCACGGGGTGCAGAGACAATTTATCCCCCTGTCTATATCACAACCTATGAACAGATTAAAGATTCCTCTTTCAGGGCTGCTTTATGTTAGGCCCTAAGTAGTTCCCACAGCAGTAAAGCTACAAGCCAACCCTCAGGTCTGCCATGGATCTGTGCTTTGGCTCTTTCCTAGATGAGCCATTCTGTGTTTCCTTAGTGGACAGAATGTGTCACAGAGGCCATATTCCTCTCAAAACTCAGGCTTCCCAGAGAATCATTAGCCTGCTTTATTTCGCAGCCAGAGGTAATCTGAACACGAGACAATGCCTCAAACACAAGTTGCAAGCTCTTTGAGCTTTGCAAAATCATTTTCAAGTGACCATTAAGTCACAACATGCCAAAGAAAAGGAGAGGACTCTTGCACATCAGGAATATGGTGGGCGCATGTTTGTGCAACAAGGGAGTCTGGTAACTCCACCCCTCTGGCCTTTCCACATAGATGATGCCTACCATGACACCTTTCCTGTCTTATGGGAAGTGGTTGTCTCTCTAGGGGAGGGCAGTGGATAAGAGGGCAGATACGGAGCATGACCCCAGAGTTGTCAACCATGCACATCCATGTAGGGTCTCGCTTGTCTTTTAGGAACATTGAGATTAAAAGCCATTGCTCCAGCTAGCACAAGGCCATCAAAGGCCAGGAGCCCTACATTTGGGAAGCCTCTTCTCCCTCTCCCTGAAGTCTCTGAAGCTAGAAACTTCATGTTTCTAGTAAGAAAATGGTGCGATGCCTTTCAACCAGTCTTCCTCAGAAAGTTTGCTGCACTCTCTAGAAATGTATATGCAAACTACTTAAAAGCAGAAGGCTTTTTGGTAAAAGCTAGGACACCTACCTGCAGGTCAGATTTCATGTCTCAGCATGATAACTGGACTCATTGTTTCAGAAATCAAGACTTAGGAGCTCATTCAACAAGGGGTGTTTTAGGAAGAGTCATTCTACCTAGTTCACATAGTGCAGTCTTAACCCACAACATGCCCTCCTGGCTGACCATGGTATACTGTGTTCTTCAAATATTTACAGAGGCCAGTGACACTGGCTTTTCCAAACCAGAATGAAAACTCAATGAACTACTGACAACAGATGATTTGTAGCTGCAGGGTTGGATTCTCTTCTGCAGGGTTTGCTGCCAATATCATCTCATTAGGAAGGAGCCTTCAAAAACAGAACAGCCCAACTTGTGTCCAGATCTTGGGTTTTCTATTTGTTGTTCAACCAAAGGACCCAAAGTTCCTAAGAGAAATGACTCAGTCTAAGACTAGAACTGGGAATATGCAAGACTATCCTTATCCAGGAAGATCTACAGTGCTAGAAGTAAGGAAGTGCCCAGAAAGCAAAACAAGACATATCAAGGGAACAATAGAGCCACTGGAATCCTCAACATCCAAGGTAGGAATATGAGCAACACAACAGAACAGCCTTGAAATAACACCAAGCATAAAGCTAGCATCTAAAAGCCCATGCTGATAGGGAACTAATCTGTGTGGACTCCTAGACAGTTTCTTAACAATTCTCCTGTAAGGTGGCTAGAATACACTTTCCTGCCCTTTTGTGTAGGCTGACCAAGGACAAATCATTTCATTGCACACACAGAGTGAGAGAGCTGCCAGACATCATTACTGGGTCAAGTGTTCAAGGTCAGGGTGAACAATGGTGAAGCCTGGCTAATACGGTTTGAGGAGCCAGCTGTTCCCTTAGCCTGTCAATTCACAGAACACATGAAGCTACTGTAGGGTGAGAGAGAGGTGGGCCCTTGCTGGGTGTCCTCAGAGCCCATTGCTCTACAGTGCTGCTCACTGAGAGGGCTTTTGAATTTCCTTAAGCTGATGGCTCTACTTTTGAGGAATTCACAAAGTTTTCCCCATGGCCCAGTAATTAGAGTTAGCAGTGAAGATTCTGGTCTCATGAAGTTA